GCTCCTCGTGAGCGTTCCTGCGGTCCCGGATCCAGAGGGCTGTTCCGCGGGAGCAGAGGGAGCACCCCAACATCCCCCCAGCACCCTCACGAGTGCCTCCTGCCCCCAGCACCGAGGTTTGGTGGGATGAGCCGACTCTGCCTGGCCGCACACGAGGGTTGGCTGGTCCCTGTCCCTGTCCCTGTCCCTGTCCCTGTCCCTATCCTCTGATCCAGTGGGTGGCATCTCTGCCCATGGCAGGGGGGTTGGAACGACACGATCTTTAAGGTCCCTCAAAACCCAAACCATTCCAGGATTCCATGACCCCCATCCCTTCCCTATCCCTGTCTCCACGCCTTTTCCATGTCTGTCCCCATCCCTGTGCCGGGAGGGGGAACTCTGCCACGCCGGGAGGGGACGGGACCCCCACCCTCCCTCTCCCCTTTGCCGATGATCAACTTTGCGATTTCTCGGGGACCATTTAATCGTTCCGTTCATACAAACACCCCAACTTTCCTCTCCCTGCGGCCCGAGGGGGCGTTCCAAGATCCCCGACCCCGCACCGTGCCCGGGGGGAAGGGGTGGGCAGCCCCGGATCCCCCCCCACCGCCGCCGCCGCGGGGCTTTTGGGGGTTCCCAGCGCTGGAGCAGCACAAGGATGAGCTGGAGATTTTGGGAAGCGCCGGGAACGCCTCGCAGCAGCGAGCGGGACCCGCATCTCCTCCGGGAGGGGAAATTATTGATATAGATAAACGCATACATGAAAAATTCTCTTTTTTTTTGTTTTTTTTTAAGGAGACGAGCTGACCCGCTCTCGACTGGAGCCCCCCCGCTCCCCGCGGTCCCCCCGCTCCCCGATGCGGCCCTACCTGCTCCGAGCGGCTGCGGCGGCGGCGGCGGCGCCGGGCGGGGACCGGGGGATGCGGGAGGAGCCGGGGGAGATGCGGGAGGAGCCGGGGGTGATGCGGGAGGAGCCGGGGGGGAGATGCGGGAGGAGCCGGGGGGAGGCGGGAGCACCGCGGCGGCGGAGGCGGCGGACAATGGCGGGCGCAGCGCGGGGCGGTGCGGGGCCATCTCCCGGCCGCTCCCCGCATTGCACAGCGCCGCGGGCAGAGCCCCCCGCTTGTCCCCCGGGATGCCGCCCCAGCAACGCCGCCCCCGGTGTCCCTCGGTGTCCCCCTGCGTGGCTCTGGGATGCTCCTGGTTCCCCCCGCGGAGCCCCCCGAATGATACCCCCATATCCCCCCACCTCGCCCCCCGGTGCTCCCCGGTTTCCCCCCCATATCTCCGGGATGCTCCCAGCTCCCCTGACGGAGCTCCGGGGGTTCTGCCCCTTCATCCCTCGATTTCCCCCCTGCATTTTCCCCGGGAATCTTCCAGCTCCGCCCACGGAGCCCCGGGGACGCTCCCCCCGCGTGTCCCCACCCCGCATCACCCCCACGTCCCGCATCATCCCCACGGGACGGTGGGTGGGCAATGAGACCCCCCTGCTTCTTTGTCCTGGCCCTCTCCAGCTCCCGCAACCCCGGGGACATCCCCTTCAGCACCCACCTCCCCTGATCCCCACGGGGGTGCCACCCCTCCTTTGGGGAGCTGCAGGGGGGTGCTGCGACACCCCACAGCACCCACTGGGACCGGGGGGCTCATGCTGGTCCCCAGAGCCCCCCAGGGTCGGTGGGGACACACTCCTGCCACAGCATCCAGACCCCCAGGCTTGGGGGGGCACAGGGGCTGGAGGACCCCCGGTGTGGGCAGCAGATGTGCCGGAGCCACGGCAGCGCTGGCTGGGATCTGTTTTCCCTGGCTCTGGCAGACAGGGATAACGGTCACCTCCGGAATCCCAGCGCCGCTGGAAGAGCCACGAGCCGCGCTGGGAGGGCTGTGGGTCACAGCTGTGGTTTGGGTTTAGTGGCCACAGAGATTATCCCTGTATTATGTATCCCTGGGTATTATCCCAGCCTCCCTGAAGGCTCCCCAGGGGAGGGGAGGGTGGAGGTTTTGCAGGATTCATCACACCATGTGAGGGGATGCTGGGGTTTTGGGGTCTCTCAGTGTGACCCCATTTCCCACCAGGCCCTAACAGAAAAATGGCCTCAGCCAGCCCCGTGTCCGACTGAAAAATCTCACTGCACCCACTTCTGATGGGAATTTTCACCTGCAGTGTCAGGATGAGCTGTGGCTCAGCTGGAGGAATCCCAATAACCAAACCTCCCCAGCCCCCCGTGTCCTGGGACAACGGCTCATCCCCTGACCTGGGATTATTCCCTGTCCTTCTCTTCCCACTTGGCCTGACCCCCTTTGAGCCCTCCCAGCTTTCCCCCCCCCAGCACACCCCACTTTGTTGTGGGGTTAGGGGCCAGGGCAACCCCCCTTCCCAAGGCTGTCAGTGAGGATCCCCCCTCTTCCTACACATCCCACGGGCAGAACGAGGGGCAGGAAGAGCCCGTTATTTGTGTCTGAGCTGTGCCATAACCACGGCAAGTGTCCCTGGGGCTGGGGGGAGCAGGCAGGAGAGGGGGGACAGGCAGGGCGTGCAGGCAGGGGGGTGTAGGCAGGGGGTGCAGGAGGGTGGGTGGAGAAGGGTGTTACAGGCTGTGGGGTGTAGGCAGGGGGGTTTAGGCAGCGAGGTACAGGCAGGGTGGAACAGGCAGATGGGGTTCAGGTGAGGAGAGCAGGAAGGAGGGTGCAGGCAGAGAGTGCAGGCAGGGGTTAAAACAGAGGGGGTTCAGGCAGGGGGTACAGGCAGAAGGGCACGAGGGGGAGTTAGGCAGAGGTACAGGCAGCAGCTCAGCCCACGGACAGCGGGATAAACTAACAGTGCAAATCGAATATACAGAGCCCGGATAGCTCAGTCGGTAGAGCATCAGACTTTTAATCTGAGGGTCCAGGGTTCAAGTCCCTGTTCGGGCGCTCAGTTTTTCTCCCTTTTTTTTCCTCCTCCGAATTATTTTTTCCCCCTCCAAAGCCTTTTTGACACCCGCAGCACCGCCGGCGCTTCCCGGCCGAGGGTCCCGGTGCCCCGGGAGAATCCAGGCAGGAAGCAAAAAAAAAAAAAAAAAAAACCAACGTAGACGGGAAAAGTGAATCCGCCCGAACAGGGACTTGAACCCTGGACCCTCAGATTAAAAGTCTGATGCTCTACCGACTGAGCTATCCGGGCTCTGTTCCGCAGCTTGGGGACAGCGCTTATCAGGGACAACACAGGGACAGCCCCGCAGCGTGCGATCTGTTCGCAGCGTCCCCCAGATCCAGAACAAACCCCCCCCGCACTTTGTTCTTTACACGCAGCAGTTCAGGCACTTCCCAAGCACGGAGTTAATTTGGGCTGGTTTTGAGTTTCCACTCAGGTTACACGACCCCAGCTCCCTTGTCAGGGGAAGGGGCTGCGCAGGGACAGGGGCTTATTGACCTCTAGGTGGGATTTTTAGTGTTGTCACAGAATGGTTGGGGTTGGAAGGGAGCTCTGGAGATCGATTCCAACCCCCCTGCCAAGACAGGGTCACCTGGAGCAGGTGACACAGCGACATGTCCAGGTGGGGTTTATGATGAAGTTTATTGGGTGTTATAATGTCCAGTGGGGTTTATAATGTCCAAGTGGGGTTTATAATGTCCAGGTGGGTTTTATTGTGTCCAGGTTGGATTTATCGTGTCCAGATGGGGTTTATAATGCCTGGGGGGGGTTATAATGAAGACAGTTCAGCTCTAGGGCACAGGAACTTCGAGTATTTTGCCAAGTCAGTAATGTCTGCACAGACGCACATCGACATTTTGATTTACTGCATCCCTAAGGCTTGTTAATTCCAGGATGTCCTTGAGCCAGGGATGGAACTGCTGCCTGTGCCACTGAGGCTTGAAAGCACACATAGATCTTATGTCAAAGAACACCTTTGACTTGAGACAATCTTGATTTTTTTATTTATGTTTAATAGTATTTATATTTTCTAATTTACTTATACATTACGTATAATATATATTATATATTACACATCATAATATATATTACGCATCATGATATATGTTATATATTACAAATAATAGATAATATATTAAATATTTACAAGCATAAATACGAGGTATATTTCTTTATGATAATTATTAATTTTTATTATCATTATTATGAACTATTTTATTTTCATTATCGTTTTACATTTTCCAGCAGGGCTGAGGGGACGCTCCGCCGGGGTCCTCCAACCCGCTCGGGGGCGCCACGTCCCCCGTGGCATCCCCGCATCCCCTCTAGCCGCGCGCCCCGCGCCGCTCCGTGTCCCCGCCGCCATGTTGGCCGCGAGGGGAAGCGGCGGCCCGGACCCCGCCAAGATGGAGGCGCGGAGCCCTCGGGGGGTTTAGGGGTCCCGTCCCCCCCCGACCCCCGGCCCGGGGCCGCCCGGGGCCCATGGAGCGGTTGTAGGGTGAGCCAGGGGCCGGGGGGGAGCCGGGGGTCCCGGGGAGCGCAGGGCTGAGGGGGCGGTGGGAAGGGGGGGGGGGCAGGAGGCGGTGCCGGCGGGAGGGGCCTGGGGCGGTGGGAGCGGCGATAAATCTTAACTGATATGAGGGAAAGGGTGGGGATTGGGATTGTTCAACCTCCAGAATGGAGGCTCCTGGGTGAAGCTGGTTGCGGCCTGAAGGAGCCGACGGGAAGGATGAAGAGAGACTAATTCCAAGGGCCTGGAGGGACAGGACAAGGGGGAATGGGTTTACACTGCCAGAGGGAGAGGTGGATGGGATATTGGGAATGAATTCCTCCCTGGGAGGGTGGGGAGAGGCTGGGATGGATTTCCCAGAGGATGCCTCATCCCTGGAAGTGTCCAAGGCCAGGCTGGACGGGGCTTGGAGCAACCTGGGACAGTGGAAGGTGCCCCTGCCCATGGCAGGGGGTGGGATGGGATGGGATGGGCTTTAAGGTCCCTTCCCACCCAAACCATTCCATGGTTCCATGATCTCACCTCCACCTAGCAGGAGGGCAGCTCTCCTCATTCCCTGGCTGGCATTCCAAAGGAACTTGGGAACACGGAGCTGGGGTTGGTTCCCAGGGAGGGGTGGGGTGTTTGTCACAGGAGGACTTCCAGGCAAGAAAACTCCCAGGGACTGATAGGGACAAACCTAATTATCCCTGACTTAATTATCAAATTAGTGCCTGTTTAGGGCCTCCCCTCCAGGGCTTCTCTGTATGATGCTCCACATAGAATTACAAGTTATTTTCAGTATTCTGCTTTGTTTGAAAGCTTGAAAACGGCTGTTGCTGCGGTGTCACACCTGAACTCACCATCAAAATGAACCATTAGAGAGCCCACAATGTCTGCTTTACACTCCCTGCTGTGTTTCCACTTCACACACAAGTTAGAAACTGTCCTTTCCTGGAAATGAGACTCTAAAACCAAACCTGAGCTTGAATTAGAAGTTTTAACTTAACTTTCCAGGCCGTGCTTGCACTCTCTGGGTCTGGTAAGATCTTTATTCTGAAGCACCAAAAGCTGTGGTCTGATGGGGTTTTGGTCTCTTGAGGAGGAAGTTCTGCTCCCAGCCCAGGCACATGTCTTGTTCCTGTGGTCTGTGTCAAGCTTTCGAGTGGAAAATACGATTATTCATGACTCCCCTGTGATTCATGGATTCCTCAGACGTTGCTCCGGTCCAGTGGCATTTTCCGTGGCTCCAAACAGCCCTGAGTCCACTGGTGCTTCCTTCCCTTGGCTGCGAGTTGGTCCAGGCACAGCGTTGGGAGGTAAAACGTGGGATATTTAGAAGCAGAGCTGTAGGGGAGGGTTAAACTGGGCTCATTGAGCTTCTCCTTTCTTTAGGAACGTGCTCCCTGGCTGTGATGTGAGCACAGGGTGGAACCGAGGGAGGTTTTCTGTGCCCTGTGGCTGCGTCCGTAGATTTTGTGGGAGCCTGGATGTGTTTTTAGAGCTTGGGGAGGCGGCACTTTGATCTCTGATTAAAGAAAACTACATCACTCAGAGTCAAACTCACCGAAAATATTTGTCTGTAAAACCAGGCAAAGCTGATAGCACTGATAAAATCAGTGCTGAAACAGTTAAAGCCGAGTCTCGTGGATGCCTCCTCAGCCCAGGGTCCTTTTCCTGGAATGCGAGGGGCAGGAAATGCACCTTTAGTCCCCCCCCGGGCCGCTTTTCCCCCAGCCCGGGCCGTTATCGGGGCTCCCCGCCCCGCCCGGCGCCCTTTGAAAGGGCGAGTCAGAGCCCGGAGCATCGGCGGGAGGCGGCAGAGCCTTCCCGGGGCCGCGCGGGACAGGAATCCAGGGATAATAACCCCGGGATACCCCGTCCAGTCGGTAAGTCAGGCTGCGGGTAGTTCAAGTTTAAGGTGGGCAGCGCGTGTTTGGTGTTATCAGCCGGAGATCTGCCTTAAAATCGAGGGGGGTGATGAGGTGGAAGCGTTTCAAGATGTATTTTGAGTTTGTAGTTTTGAGTTACTGGCGCTGTTTAAGTTCTTTGCAAACCTGAATGTTTAATGTGCTTTAATCAGCCCTTCCTGAATGTTTAGAGATATGTTTGATCTCTGGGGATGATTTTATTCCTGATAGTGCCTCACTTCAGAGGATTGTAATGCCATAAAAACCATCAGAAGCCTCTAATAAAGTCATTAAAAGTCCTTTTTAATAGATGGGCAGAGACTGAACAGTCACCAGTGCTCGGGAGCTTGACTTGGTGCTAAAGCTCAGATTTTTGTCATTGCTGAGCCACCTTGAGCCTGTTTTGTCTGCAGCTGAGCCCTTTGGCTGCATTCCTCAGGCAGGACTCTGGGAATTCTGCTGATATTCAAGCTGATCACTCTGGCTCTCAGTCCTGATAACTGGGTGTAGCAACAAATTCATTTACTGGGGCTGGAAAATTCTGTGAAAGACAATTCACATATTGCTTTGAAAGTTTGGGGCTTCACGCTTTCAAATCTAATGTTTTGGATTTAGAAGTGAAATTTAAATAATTATCGTTGAAATTGAAATAATTAAACTACTGCATGGACTAAAAGTTCAGTAAAAACATTCCCAAAGTTGCAGCTACCCAGGCAAATTGAGGAGGCAGCCTTGGTAGTTCATCTCATGCTTTAGCCTTAATTTTACCAAAAAGGGCTTGTTTCAGTATTGCCTGTAACCAGATTCATGTTAAAATTGAGATTTTACTGTAACTAGGTCCAGGGACATGACATTTACTGGTTTATTGGTCTGAGCTTTAGTGCTGAGACTAAAATCAAGGATTCCTGTTTTTCTCCATCAAGTTCAAGGTGCTTTTTTCCAGTGAGGAGTTGATTTAGACCATCCCTTCTCTTCAGAGATTTCAGACCTGTTGTGTGGGGCAGATGAAAGTGGATTGTGCTGGGGACATGAGTCACTGCTGCTCTTTGGGTGGATTCTGAAACCGAGACAAATTCAAATAGCTGCAGGACTTCCCCTTTTGTTCCCTTCCAGGAAAGGATCTGTCACCTGCTCCCCCAGAAACTGTTCATTTATCAGGTGGGGTGGGGGCTGCAGCAGCTTTAGCAGATTTTCATCTCTTGGAAGTCAGAGGAGGTGAGGAATATGCTGGTGATGATCATCAGCTCTGGCTGCTGCTCCTTTGGGAGTCAGGCCTTGCTGTCCTGGGGTTTCCCTGCTGGCTGGTTGTGACTCAGCTCCTCATTCCCCACCTCTGACTCAGGGCTTTCACCAGAGTTTGCTGATCCCTCGTGGGCACTGGCAGGTCCCCAAGTTCCTCACCGTGGTGTGTCACTCCTGGAGAGGCAGAGAATTCCAGAATCCCAGACTGGTTTGGCTTGGAGGAACCTTAAAGCTCATCCAGTCCCACCTCCTTCCATGGGCAGGGACACCTTCCACCAACCCAGGTCGCTCCAAGCCCCATCCAACCTGGCCTTGGACACTTCCAGGGATCCAGGGGCAGCCACAGCACCAGTGTCCCAGTTGTCCCGTGGCTGTTTGCTGGACACAGCTCAGAATCATGGAATCATTGAGGCTGGAAAAGACTTCAACATCAATAAGTCCACCATCGACCCAGCACCACCACCATGGTCATCATCCAGCTGTGCCCTCAGGTGCCACATCCACACGTTTTTTGAGCACTTCCAGGGTTGGTGATTCCCTGGGCAGCTGGGCCAGTGTTTTACAACCCTTCCTATCACAGATTTGTCTTCATAAAAAGCAGGACAAAGCAGGCAGGGCACAGGACCACCAGCACTGCACAGCATCATTCGAGACGTGACTGCAGGGCTAATTTTAAACCTCAGTTTAAACCTCGGTTTCCTGCAGCTTCTGAGGAGGTGGAAGTGGTTAAACTCCAGCCCAGGTTTCTCAGCCTGACCTTTCTCAATTTTAGGTGCTGTTCCCAGCTGCTCACTGCCACCATGAGCTCCCCCAGCCCTGCCCAGCACCCAGCAGCTGAGAACACCTGCAGGATCACTCTGGGACAAGCTCACCAGGTAATTTGCTGTTATTTCTCCCACTTATCTCTGCTGTTTTCCCCTCAGAGCAGTGATTTCTTCCATTAAATCCAAGCTCTCCAAGTACATCTAAGTAAAGAGAATTTACCCTAATGGAGCAGGGCTTTCATCCTAAGGAGTTGTGTCATCTCTCACTCTCAGATCCTTTATGAACTCTCAGTGGTTTGTGAACATTATTTAAAGGGGAAGGAAGGGAAAACTGGAGATACAAAAATAATATAGTGCCTATTTTTGTGCTGAACCTTAGAATATTCCATGTCCAGCATTCCTCCTGGAGCTGCACTCTGGGACAGCTGTACTGGAGCTTTGTAACCTTGTATGTTAAACTTTGCCTGGTAATGCATCCCCAGGCCTTTTTTGAGTCCATTTAGGTGGCTTTGGACATGAAGTACTCCTGTTATCAACTGTTCCTGGAACAAAAGGTATTTGTGGGTGCAAGCCAAGGCCAACGTGGCAAGTGTGTGTTTGGAGTGTGGCTCAATACCAGCCACTCAGAGAGGAGAGGTTTGCCAACAACAGGAGAAATCTGGTGTTAAAAAAATCAGAAAGTCTCCTCCAAGCCAGGCATCCAACCTCCCAGAGCCAATTCCTTGGAAAAAACCATCCCCACGATGTCAGGGAATGTGGTGGGAGTGGGAATAAACTGATGGGAAGTTGAACATTTCCCATTTGAGGCTTTATTTAGAAGCTTTGAACTGGAGCCAAGCCCTGTGCAGAACTGATGTCAATGCTTATTTATTCAATTTGCTCTGCATGGAAAAAAAAAAAAAGTAAATAGGCTCTGATAATAGTGACAAAATATTGATTGTCAACACTCATGTCCCGGGCAGGGTGGAACAAACACTTCCATCAGGACTGGGGCAGCTGAGGGCCCATTTTAGAATGATCCAGCTGACTGGGTTTGCTTCTTTCATCAGGAAGAGACTTCTGAGAAGTTCCTTCAAAACCCATTTGAGAGTGGTCATTAGAGAAATGACTGAACAAACACATAATTTCATCTTATTAAAAGCCATGTGCTGATACAAGCACTTACTGGAGCTGTGCTGAGCTTTTTCCTACTGCAGAAGCTGTTTTTTGAGGAAGAGGCTCGAGGCTGGACACGAGTTGTTGTGTTTGAGCTGGAAAATGCATTTTAGAAACACCATAGTGAGAAAACACCATAATGAGAAAACAGAGCAGACAGGTCCACAGAGGAGGGGAATTTTTCACAGTTTTAGAAAACAGAGGAATAAACACCTTGCCAAGGTGCTGCCTGGGAGCTGAGTGACAAATGACAGCCATGACAAGCAGCCAAACCTGCTCTCCTTTTGTAGGAAAAAGGTGCTGCAGTGCAGTTGGGCCTCTTGAAAAGGTGCCAGGCTGGTTTGGGTTGGGAGGGACATTAAAGCTCACCCAGTCCCACCCCCTGCCACGAGCAGGGACACCTTCCACCGGCCCAGGTGGCTCCAAGTTTATCCAACCTGGCCTTGGACACTTCCAGGGATGGGGCAGCCACAGCTTCTCTGGGCAACCTGTGCCAGGGCCTCCCCACCCTCACAGGGGGGAATGTCTTCTGTGTATCTCCTAAATTTTCCCTTGTTCAGTTTGAACCTGTTCCCCCTGTCCTGTCACTGCAGTTCCTGATGAAATCTTGGTGATATAAAATAAAAAGCACCCTGGGTATGGTGCAAGTGCTGCACAGCCCCTGGAGGTTCCCCCACAGCCCCAGAGCAGCTTTGAGGCACGGGAGCCTTGGTGTTCATTAACAACACCTCGTGTTTAATGCACTGCTCTTGTTCTGTGCCCTGGGTAAAGACCTGGAGAGATCCTTGGCCTGGGCAGGGCAGAACTGGTGTGTTCCCAGCAGTAATGGGGAAATCCAGGCACAGTGGCAGTGGGAATGTCCCACCACTGCTCCTGAACATCCAAAAACTGGTTAGTCACTGCCCAGGCCTCCATTCCAGGGCTCTGAGTTTCCAGCCTTCCCTCCCAGGAGGAATGGCATCAGAGTTCATGGGACTGGTGATGGGATTAGAGCCTTCAGAGCTGCCTGCCTGCATTCCTGGGTTGTTTTCTTTTCTCTTGCTGAATGGCTGTGCCAGAGGAGTGGGATTTCTCTCAGCAGGGCTCTGCTTCCTGTCATTCCAACAAAACCCTGCTCTGTGTTCCAGGTGAGACCCAAAGTGCCACTCCTGAGGATTCTGCAGGCAGCAGGAGCCCAAGGAGACACCTTCACACTCAAGGAGGTGGGCTCACATTCCAGGCTGTGCCTGGCCCTGCTTTTTTGGGAGTTGGGATGGGACTGACTCTTAATTTTTCTGCACTTTGAACCTCTACCTGCAAAATAAGGATATTTAACCTGTAGGACTGTTCTGCCTTGATTGATCATAATGCCCCTGGAGGAACTGGAGTAAGAGTGTGAAATATTATTTATCACTGAAAATCAGAAACCTCTGTAGAGAAAGGAAAGATGGGATAATCACATTCCTGAGAGAGTGTAGGAGATTCTGTTCCATTGTGCAGCCCTCTGCTCAATGTACCAAAGCCTTAAAAATTGGATTCTGGTTGATATTTTTTAACTTTCCCTTGAAATGGCTTGTCAGCTTAACCTAAGAGACCCTGTGTATTCATTTATTTTGAGATTAAAATGCAATATATGTACACGATTAAAAAAATGACAGTGTGATTTACAAGAAGATCCTGCCTACAAAGAATTAAATGCAGTGGTTCTTTATTACACGTGTCAAATCTTCCTGCGGAGCCCTGTGACTTAATTTAACACTTATGCATTTAAATAACTTATTTAGCTTCTAAAAATTTGTGCAAAAAACCAAATTGGATGGTTTAAATGGGCAGAGCTGAGTTTTAAGTGCAGGTTACCTGTAGGGATTCACACTTTAACTCAGCTGGGTTTTCTGCAGTCAGTGGAGCACTGTTGGCAACTTTTTGGGGACACTTCAGGGTCACTTTGGTGGGTGATGGGGGGGTGGAACTCGCCTGTGTTGTGCTTAATGCACTTTGCTTTCCCCTCGGGAAATTCCAGAGGAATTACAGTACTTTGGGTTGTAGCTGGAGAGTGTTTCCATCCTTCTTTGTGATACTAATGGGGTTAATTTTCCACCTGCCTGAGGGGCAGCACTGTGAGTGTGGCCAACCTTTAGGAACAGCTTGTTCCTTCAACTGGGATGGTGCTGTTTGTCCATCTTTGCCTCAGTTTTCCTCCCTGTCCAGGGTTAATAGTCACAAACCTCACAGCAATGCCACAAATCCTAACTCTCCCTTGCCTGGGAGGCACAAGAAGTCAGGTGTGATTTGACTCACGCTGTACAGGGCAGCAGGAGGCAAACACTGTGAATTCAGGTGAATTCCCAGGGGTTTGGGGGGTTTGGTTTAGGCTGCAGGTGGGGCTGAGGGTGTGTTCTGTCCCCACAGGTGATGCATTACCTGGGCCAGTACATCATGGTGAGGCAGCTCTACGACAAAAGGCAGCAGCACATGGTCTATTGTGGAGGAGATCAGCTGGGAGAGCTGCTGGGCCTGGAGAGCTTCTCTGTCAAAGATCCAAGGTAGGAAAAGGGTCACCTTGAACCCGGGTTGTCTGACAGGGGTTGCTGAGACAGGAACTGTCACTGTCACATAAACCTCCCTGTTGGTGATGGGTGTGACAAGTGGGAGCTGAGCTCCTTGTTCTGAGGAGCCAGGGAATGGCCCAGGCACTGCTCGAGGTGACATCTCTCCCCCTCTTATTTCTGCATCTCCTCAAACCCTTGATCTCACTGGAGCAAAAATCTGCATCCGCATCAACCCTGAGCTGAACTTTGTAACGATCAGTGAGGAGACAAAAAACCCCCCCTGTGAGGTTTCCAGCATCCCTCTGGATAATGAAAGGGAATTCCTGGCCCTGTCTGGGGAGGGTGATGATGTTTTTTGTGGGAATATTGACTGTGCCTCCCTCCCACAGCCCCCTGTATGACATGTTGAAACGGAACCTGACGGCGGCTGCACTCACAGGTAGGTTGGTCACAGTCCGGGCAGGGCCTTTCAATGTAGTGTTGGTATAACCTGGTAAGTAACAAAAACCAGACACAGAAATGTTTGTCAAGTTGGAATAAACTGCTGATGAAGGTTTTGAGACGATCTCTCCGAGTATGTGTCTTTTCTGTGTGTCAGTAGCTGTGATACCAGAGCAGGGAGCTGGTTGAGTGATGTGGCTGCCTAAAAAGGCCCAATTTCAGAGAGCTAAATGCTGTGGATAAACAAATCACCGTGGCTGAAGTGTCCCATCCAAATCACTATTGATTTTCTCAGTATTTTTCAGTTTCAGAGCTGCAGCTTCTCGTTCTCACCTCATTTTATACTTTCATAATCCATAACAGCACCAGAAACCCAGCGAGCTCTGCGAGCCAGAGCTCTGGACTTTAATCAGACACTTGAACCTTTAAAGGTCAATGTTGCTTTCCCAGCTCATAAGAGAAATCAAATCTAGCTCCATCAAAAGTCCTTCAGTCATAAATGAAAATTTATTCTTAAATTAATCCTGGCTGATGGCTTCCTTGCAGCCAGCTCCCATTGTGGGCTGGTAATCTCCATTGGAAAAAATCAACTGGGAGAGCTGTGGAGTCTTGTGCCATATTTCCTGGGTGCTCTAAGCAGATAATATGGACTTAGTTCTTTACAAAGGCTCAGGCTATTTTTGCACAAGTGCATAAAAAGCTTGTGCAGATTTAGAAACTGAAAAAAACATGACCCTGAAGTGCTTAGTTCTCTGCTTTGAGCCATGCTGGTGCCTCTGAGGTCCCCCTGCTTTAATTATAAAGAAGGATCTTCTTGAGTGGACTCTCCTAAACCTGTAGAATAACTGTGTGAGTGCTGCTTCCCTCACTGGTGATGTGCTGAGTCTTCCCTAAAGCAGTTTGTGTGGAGAGCAGAGGATCCCAGCAAACACTCTGCTCTGCTGCCCTGTCCCCTCTCCTTGGGCTGGGCCTGTGTGTGTGTGTGGTGCAGCCCTGGTGTGACCTTAAACCTGCCAGAGGGAATCCTCAGTTAGACCTCTGTGTGTGTGACTAAAACGAAACAAGCTTGGCAGACCAGACCTTGGACAGATCCCTAGGGAGGGTCACTCCAGGTGTTGCTTTTCCTTCATCCCAACACAGGAATAATTAGAAGTGCCTTAGGATTTAGAATTCTTCGTGTCTCGTGTTCTACAGTAGCTGCTCGTGTTCATTGGCCAAATCAGGGCTTATCAGCTCATCATTTTGCAGATTATTTGACCATTTTTAAGTGCACTCAGAGAAGGGAAAAGTGGCTGCAGCACATCTTGAGAATGAGGAATGAGCTCTTACACAGGGCTCTTTATCAGGCCACCATCTGATCTAACACCTTCCTTGGCCAGCTTTTCCCTTTCCTTGGCCAGCTCCTTCCCCCTCCCTTGGCCAATTCCACCCCCAGGAGTGACTCCCACAAGGTGTATTTAGGAATCCCTCACTTCAGGGACATTTTGTGTGGGATATGTTGGCTCCAAAAAGGGAGCCTTCCAGTCAGTGCACTGTGAAAATTTATAAAGTGTTAGAAGGGTGAGCCTTCATCTGTTCCATGTCCCTGCAGAGCCAAAGCAGTGATGGATGAGCCACTTGGCTTCTGTTTTCCTTCAGGTATTAAATAATCAGTGGCTGCAGGAGCTGCAGGGTGATGGCAGCAGGAAGGGAAAGGTGAACTAAAGCAATAAGGGACAGGAGCCATGTCATCCTGTCCTGGGTTTTGCTCCATTTGATGGCCACTTTGTGGTCTAATTTTTGCCTGTAGCAACAGTTTTGAGTGTCTTCCTATCAGTGCAGTGATTCATGGTGTGAATCAGACTCATCCTGTGTGCCTGGCACTCTGCAGGGAATTTCTCTGCTAAACTGAAAGGGGAGCAAGCAGGAGCCATCCTTGGATCTTTTGTTCTCCAGCCAGCCATTCTGTCTGAAGGACAGGCTTCCTGAGTGCACCTCCTATTATGGAGAAAGTTCTGTTAATTGGATTGTTCTTGCTCTTTAGCTTGGTCTTTTAATTAACTCTTGGGGCCAGCAGAATCATCTGGATTAAATTGTGTTAGAGACGTGTCCACAGCTGCCCAGGAAAGAGCTGGCTGTGCATGGAATTTTCCCTTCTTTAGTCTAGTCTTTGCTCTTCATGCCCACACCCTTTAAAAAGGTGTTTTTCCTGCCTCAGCCTGAGCTGGAAGAGGTGGAATCCTCAGGTAGTTATAAAAATCTTGCTCTTTCCCATTCCCCTTCTTCAGCGTGGATCCGACCCAGGTGGGATTCCCCCCACTCTGGGTTCCTGCCTTTGGGAGACCTTGTGTCCTGTCCCTGGAGCTTGCCATGGCAGGACAACCTGGAGGAAAAGGAGCAGTTTTTCCCTTTGGGAAGAGGATTCTTCCCTGCTGTGAGTTCTCCTCTCCTCCAGGGAGGCACAGCCCGTGTTCCATGGGCTGCTGCCTCCACGTTCTTTCCGAGGAAGGACGGGCTTTGTTCCTGAAGGGTTTATCAGAGGTCTGCCAAGCCTGGCTCGTTGGTTGCTTGTGAAGCCCCTCTTGTGTTGTGAGAATGGTTATTACTGGGGAAGGTTTTTTCTCTTGTTTTACCTGCCATCTAGATGCTGCACAGACTCTCCCAAAGGAGCAGAGCGTCGATAAGCCAAGCCAAGACCAGCTGAAGGTAAACCCACTGCCGGGTGGTTTCTTTTGTTGTACAGAGTGCCCCTTCTCTGTACCTGTGCATGGTGGACTGCCAGAACTTTGTGCTGCTTGGCTGCCAGGTCCTCACCTTCCTGAAAAGTTCTCGGAGTCCACAGGGCAGGGACAGAGTGACCCTTCTCTGTTCTCCTCATAACAGAGTTCCAGTCTCTGAGCGCGTTTCTCTGGGGTGTAGCACTTCTAGTCCTCAGTTCCTCCAGCGTGCTCTGCCTTTTCATGTCTTTCCCCCTCTCTCCCATCCCCTCCCTGAGTAGGAATTGCCAAATAACTCAGCTTTCTAAAACGTGTGACCAAGTGTTTTTGTGTTTAGTTAGGACTGTTTTTCGAGCTTTCAGGGAGAATTGGAAACCTAGGAAAAATCTTGGCACCTTCAAACTCGTCTCCAGGTGTGTTTTGGGGGGAAGGCAGCCTGATCTGGGAGGTGTCTGTTCACACTGGGGGTGAGAGAGTCACAAATACCACGGTTTTACTGCATGAATGATGGCAACTTTGGGACTTCTGCCAAGCTAAAGATTTTTCCTAGGTTGGAAGGACGTGTTTGTGCTGATGACAGGTGCCTTAGGCTTTGTCGAGGGTAAATAAATAGTGTGTAGATTTTGCTCAGAAACTTTTATTCCTCCTCATAACTGCTTGCTCTTGTCCTGCAGCTGGTGACTCGGAATGGAAGTGCTACATCCCCTTGTCCCTATAAGCTCTGGTGGACTAACCCCTGGATTTTCCCTCCTGCAGTTTAGCCAGGAAGAAAGTTCTGATGCTGGGACCACGGAGGGGGAGGAGAGCAAGGCCTCTGCTTTGTCTACCTCGGAGCAGAACTGTGACACTTGTGAAGGTGAGTCCTGGCTCTGCTGCACCAACACAACGTGCCCCAGCCCTTCTGCTCCTCCTCTGCATCAGCAAACACTGGAGGAGGATTTTGGGACACCAGTAAACCCCTGGTTTGGAGCACAATCATTAAACCCCATCAGTTTATGCTGAAGCTTGAGAGAACACAAATGTTGACCCAAGGTATTGTGTGATAAATGTGTTTTCTGGCTGGGCTGTTTGGTCTCATAAGCAAACAAATGCTTTGAAGGAGATGGCAGGTTAAACCCCCAAAGCACATCTATCACTGAACAATGCCACAGAAAATCTTACAGACCTTGCTGAAGGGTATTTTAAATGCTGAAATTACACTTGTATCTATTTATCTTCCCGAGGGACTCTCCTGATCACACAGAGCCCAGACTGCACTGTCTGCAGTCATTACCTGCAAACCAATCAGGGAATCCAACAACAATGGGGGGTTTTTTTTGTATCCAGCACAAGTGTAAGACAACTCCTTCATATTTAGACATTTCCTCTGGTGGAATGTCTGGGGATTTCTCGCTGGGTCACTCCTTTGGATTTCAGATGTTATGGAAGCAATTTTGCTGATTTTTCTGCTTTCTATTCTCAGGTTGTTTTCATATCAAGGAACCTAATTTGTAAAAGCAGGTCTTTGTGAGTGTGGGCATTTCCAGATCAAATGAGAGGGGGAGATATTTCCTGTATGTACAAAAGAGGGAGAAACAGCCTTGTCTGTGCCTTTGAAACTCTGGAAGGGAGAGAAATTCAAGGTTATCTTGAAACTTGTGCTGAGTTTGGGATCACAGGCTAAAAAGGAGGCTGAAGCATGGCAGCATGGATTCTTACCTTCCTGCTTCCTATGTGAGCCTGGTTTGGGAATTCAGGAGCTCCCATCGTTGGAATCTAAACTCAAACCAGTTCTTTCTGCATCCTGAGTCACTCAAGAAATCTGCTCAGTGGTGACTTGGGAAGGGCTCAGAAAGAAGCGTTTGTGTTTCTCTGAGTCTTGGGATAAAAACCAACCTGTACCAGTGTAGAGGCACTGGGATCACTGGGATGTTCCCAGTCCCTCAGTGCAGGGACTGTTTTGCCAGACACACCAGGAACAGACAAACCCCAGAGCTCTCAGCAGGAACTGGGGTGAGAAGGAGCAGGAAAGGTTTCTGAAATCAGATGGGGCCCTGGTTTTTCTCTGCTGGTCTCTTAACGAATGTAGGTGTGGCATGACTTAGACTCTACTTGGCTCTTACAGACAAAGACTTAATAGAAAACCTCTCTAAAAGCAAGAAGCCTAAACTGGACCTAGTGTTTGAGGAATGGGATGTAGCTGGTCTTCCATGGTGGTTTTTAGGCAACCTCAGAAGCAATTACGAGTCCAGAAGTAATGGATCAACAGATATTCAGACTAACCAGGTGTGTAGACGTTTGGAACAGGTGCACTGTGTCCTCTTCCTCTCCTCTTTTGGGTTCCAAGGCAATAAAATATTCTTGTTCTTTCTTTCCCCTTCCCACTCCAGGATTTTCAGCCTCTCCCTTGTGTGTTCCTGTCCCAGCCTTTCACACCAGGTGGTTGGTTACCTTTAGTGCTTTTTAAATAAACCAGACCCTCCCTGAAGGCCCTGGGAGGTCCCTCTGCACTGCAGGAGTTGCCCTTTTGGGTTGTAGGGTGGTGGCCAGGCAGGAGGGGAAGGAGCACAGAGTTGGAAGCTGGGAAAAGAATTGGAAGCTGGGAAAAGGGGTGTGTGTGAGCTGGCAGATGGAAGAAGGGGTGTGTGAGAGCAGCCAGGTGCCCTTTTCTCCCCTGGCACAGCTGCCCAGGGCTCAGGAGGTTGTGGATGAGGAGAAGGGGAGAGTGCTGGTTGTGGTGCTGGTGTTTCTGCTGCTCCTGAGCTGAGCTCTGAGGGGTTTTCCCTGCTCCTTTTCCCTCAGGACATTGACACTGCCATTGTTTCGGATACTACTGACGACCTGTGGTTCCTCAACGAGTGCCCCCTGGACCAGGGCAGTGCTGGGCTCAAGGTGGACGTGCTTGACTGTGAGGAAGTGAAAGAAGGTGACACAAAGGTACCTCTTCCCAAGGTTTAACTGATCCCATGGTGCTGTGCTGGTGTTGGAACCATCCAGAGGTTAATTATGTTTAGAAAAGGCTGTCAGTGTTCCTTACATGGGTGATGCCTTTCCAGCTCAGCCTTTGGGTTAAATGTGTGTTTTCTAAGCATAAAATTAATTTAAAATGAATCCAACCTCCAGCAGCAACTTTACTAGATGCCTATCTAGATACCTTCAAGAATAATAAATCACAGAATCATAGAATTAAGGTTGGAAAAGACTTCAGATGTCCTCAGTTCCAGCTGTCAAAGGTAAATGAAAAGACTCAAAGAGGAAAATCTCAGTTTACATTGACCACAGTCAAGTAGGACTAAGCCAATCCAGCAACAGTTATCAACATTCTGGAATAAAACCACTGCAAAAATGGCTTTTCATTCACTTACAGAAGTAGCTTGATTAGCCTGGTGATTATACAGTCATTTAATTTGGGTGTGCAGTGCCAGGCATGTGATAAATGGAGATTATTGCAACATTTCCACTCTCCCCAGGTGACTGAGGACGTGTGTTTGAATGACTTGGAGGACTCTCAGTGCTTGAGTGATGACACGGACACAGAAGGTGCTTCTGAGGTGGGTGATCCCCCAGGACAACATTCCCTACATCAGGACAGCTCATCCTACACCTACTGCTGCTTGTGGCAGGAGAAGCTGATTCTTGTAAGGGTTTCTAGGCCATAAAAAGTGGCTGGATGAAGTTAGGACTGATCTCCAGGCAGGTTTTAATCAGGTTTATTCCATGTTGTCCTCTGGAAGGAAATCTGGAGGATGGTCCTGGGCAGAGATGTGGAAGTCTCAAGTAAGGACTTTGTAATCACACCCAAAATCCCTTTGTTGTGGGAATTCCTGTGTCAGGATCAGGGATCCCCTGAGTCCTGGGTGTTTTGTGTTCCCTGGCTCATTCCAGCCCCTTGTCCTGCCATTCTCCCCTGGCTCTGGTGAGGAGGGTGCAGTGTCTGGGGTGGTGCCTGTGCCCTTGCTCTACCTCTCAGAGGACACTCCACAGCTTTTCCCCTGCTCAAATGACAAAACGAGGTGGAAAGAGAACAAGCAGCAATTACTGAGCTGTCACCCCTCCCTGCTTCCCCACTCCTCCAAAAATCCCTCATGGTGGGTCCTGAGAGACATCAAATCTCTGTTCCTTGAGCTGTCCTTCTCCTCTCCCAGTCCTGAGGCTGCCTTGGAGGTTTGTTCTGAGGCAGCAGAAGTGCATCATGAGACTCTTTGCAGCTGATGACACCAAAAAACCCCCGATTTTAGCATCATTTTCTAGCCTGTGCTGGAATAAATGGGGTCGTCCCTGGCACTGGACAGCTGAATCATGGCTCTGAGCTTGAGCCTTGCTGGGTGGGGTAATCAAGCAAACCTCTATTAATTGTGCAGATCCAACAGATGCCAAGTGATTAGTGAGCCTGGGAAGTGATTCCTGACTGATTCCAGGACCTCTACCCTTGAATTCAGAGCGAGATACTGAAAATCCAATAAACTGCCCAGCAGAGAACATTGGATTCTTGCAGAGTGCTGAAGGCTGGGAGGGAGGGAGGGCAGGAATTAATGTTTGAGATCTGCATCTGTAGAACACACAGGGGGGAGTCGAGTCCTCGTTAAATCAAACCACAGGCTTAGAAATCAGGGATAAATCCCTTTTTTTTCGTGAGGCTTCTTTGCTGGTTCTCCTACATAGAGGAAACGAGCTGTGCACAAGAACACCCTCACTCACTGCTGGTTTTTGGCCTCTCCTTCCCCCCAGGACTGCTGGCAATGCACCAAATGCAAGAAGTTCAACTCCCCGGGCAAACGGTACTGCTACCGCTGCTGGGCCCTGCGCAAGGGCTGGTACTCAGACTGGCCCAAACTGGCCCACTCCCTCTCCCTGTCCAGCATTGCTGCCATGAAAAACAAGGAGGAGGAAGAGGAGGACGAGGGGATAGATGTCCCAGACTGCAAAAGGACCATGTCGGCCCCGGCCGGGCAGCCCACCCGCGTGTTCGTGGTGGAAACCAAACCCCCCCCCTGCGGCTCCATCGAGTCCCTGGACCTGGCACGGGCTCATGAGAGCAAAGAGTCTCTGCTGAGCTTCGCTGAGAGTAAAAAGGAGGAAGAAATCGAGTCTCTGGAGAGTATAAAAACGCTGCTGAGCCCTTGCTACCTGTGCCAGCACAGGCCCCGCGACGGGAACATCGTGCACGGCAGGACTGCTCACCTCGTGGCCTGCTTCAGGTGTGCAAGGATGCTGAAGAAAAGGAGATCCCCCTGCCCAGTGTGCAGGAAGGAGATCGAGATGGTCATCAGGATCTTCATGGGGTAGTTGGGCCACTCCAGGCCTTTCTCCTCCAAAAAGGAGCCAAGAGGTTTCTTGCACTTAAGGCCCAGTTTCAGATCAATGAAAGCCAAAGAGAATTAAGATTCCAGTCTGCCCCAGCAGGCTGAGGAATCTCTGCAGCCTCCACCTTTCCATGCCCCTGGAAGTGAAAGCCTGTAGGGAACAGGGAGGGACATGCTGGGGTCGATGCCCCAGCCTGGAAGCGGCCAAAATCTTCCCCTTTCAGCTCAGGGGTGTCACTGGGATTCTCTGTCCTGACAGCTGGTCCTTGGGGAAAACAAGTTTTGGGAAGAGTTGTAACTTTTGGAGTGTTGTTCTTCAGTTCAGTCAGAGCTGTGCAATCAATGCCTTCTGAGTGGGGGTGTGATCTGAGATAGAAATAGAGATAAATATTCAGGGGTGGGACTCTGAGGTGTTTGCAGCTTAGATAAGCCTTTTCTCCAAGGACCAGCTCTCCTGAGGGCAGTGCAAAGGAAATAACCCCATTTCTGATTTTTTTGGTTGATTGTTAAGGTAGGATTTAAGGTGAAGGTCCTTTTGCTCCCAGACAGGAAACAAATCCTCGCAAACTCTTAATCCATAACTATCTCAGGTCACAGAGGGAATATAGGGATGCATTTTGCTTTCTTATTGGCTCATTTAATTTATATTGATTCTTTTTTTCATTTAAATATATTTCCTGTCATCTTGCATAGCTTTGAAGCCTGTCCAGCATTAGCTCAGCCTCTGCTCTGCCAGTTGGATTCGATTCCCACGGCTCTGTGCCTGTTTTGGGATGTTCCCAGTGCACCTTCCACCTGCCTCATCTCATCAGCCTGCCCAGAATATACCCAGTTTGGAGTGCAGTGTGGCTTTAAAGACAGGACATGAGCCTTTGAGGGGAAAAAACGACTCCTTTAAAGCACCAGTTGCTCTCTGGAGGCTGTGCTGGGTGTCAGGTTTTTAATTTTCTCCTGCTCTTTCTTTGCCCCCCCTGTGATTTAACACTCCAGCTCTGTCCTTCAGAGCTGGGCATGGTCACTGCTGGCTGCCAAAACTTAGTTAAAATTCACAATTTAAGAAAAATCTCACCCTTTCCTGTGATGACACCCAAGACTGTGCTCCATTCCCTCAGCTTCCCTGTTTTCCAGGCCTTTTGGAGGACCAACAGAACCTTCACCTTTCAGCTCTGCAGCAATTAGAGCTCAGTGCAGTGTAGAACAAACCCTGTTTGTTGTCACCTCTAATTCCCTCTCTAACCCAGGGAGTGCTCGTGGAAACACAGCCAGAGAAATTCCTGCTCATTCCCTGGTGCTTCCTTAGGCTCTTCCTCCTCGTTTTCCCGCTCTCCACGTGCTGCTCCAGCCCCAGCAGGTCCAAGGGGGGCATTGGGAGCCCCCAAACCTGCCCAGCAGAAGGTTCCAGCAAACCCTGAGTGTCAGAGCTGGTGTTTCTGTGCCAAACCCCAGAGTAGGTGCTACGAAATCCCTGCAAATCACTGCCAAAACTCCCAAAACTCCCCATCCCCCTGGAGTGTTGGGATTGTTCCCTGATATTATCAGTGACAGTTGTGCTGGAAAATCCCGATGATCTGGCACATGGGTGCACTATCCATGGGAATCAGTCCCCATGGAAAAGGTGATTTATTGTTCCCTTAACTAAAGGGCTCTTCAGTTGCTGGTGATGCACTTTACCCGCGCTGGGATCAGCAGCTTTACCCCTGCAGTGACACAGTTGGGGCCTGACAGGCAGTTTCTTCCCTTTCCAAGTGGGTTTTTCCCTTTTTAAAGTGATTTTTTTCTCCCCTTTCCCAGGTGGGTTTTTTCCCCTTTCCAGATGGGTTTTTCCCCCTTTGGAAGTGGGTTTTTTCCCCTTTCCAGGTGGGTTTTTTCCCCTTTCCAGGTGGGTTTTTTCCCCTTTCCAGGTGGGTTTTTTCCCCCTTTGCAAGTGGGTTTTTTCTCCCCTTTCCCATGTGGGTTTTTCCCCTTTTCAAGTGGGTTTTTTTTCCTTTTTGTGTGGGTATTTTTCTCCACTTCAGGTGGGTTTTTTTTCCTTTTCCAGGTGGGGTTTTTTTTCCCCTTTCCAGATGGGTTTTTCCCCCTTTGGAAGTGGGTTTTTCCCCCTTTGGAAGTGGGTTTTTCCCCCTTTTCAGGTGGGTTTTTTCCCCTTTCCAGGTGGGTTTTTTCCCCTTTGCAAGTGGGTTTTTTCTCCCCTTTCCCATGTGGGTTTTTTCCCCCTTTTCAGGTGGATTTTTTTCTCCTTTTCCATGTGGGTTTTTTCCCCTTTCCAAGTGATTTTTCCCCCTTTTCATGTGGGTTTTTTCCCCTTTTCAAGTGTTTGGGGTTTTTCCCTTTTCAAGTGTTTTTTTTTCCCCCTTTTCAAGTGGGTTTTTTCTTTTTTTCCATGTGGGTATTTTCCCCCTTTCCAAGTGTTTTTTTCCCCTTTCCAGGTATTTTTTCCCCTTTCCAAGTGGATTTTTCCCCCTTCCAGCTATTTTTTCCCCTTTCCAAGTGGTTTTTTTCCCCTTTCCAGGTATTTTTTCCCCTTTCCAGGTGGTTTTTTCCCCTTCCCAGGGCTCAGCAGGATGCATTGTGGCACTTAGCGGCACTTTTGAAATACTGTGAATTCCCCTTTGCCACAATTGCTTCTGAAAACTCCCGTGTTTTGCTCAGAGCACTCGGATGAATCACCCACATCTGGCCACGCTGAAAAAGGTGTGAATTGTGTTGACCAAAACAAAAAGTCGAGAGAGTTTGAAGCTGAACATCCCTCCCAAAATCCCGCTGAGATCCACGTGCTCTTCCCTGATTAAAAGGGATTTTAGTGGGGTAAATCTGGGGGGTATTTTCAGTGTAAAGCTTTTCTGTCTCTGTGATTTGTTGTCCAGTTGTACCCACGGTGTTCACAGCGTGCATTTGCCAACTCCTTGCTTATTTTTAACTATTCCACGTCCACAAGGCACCACAACCCAGGTTTTGAGATTTTCCTGTCCTAGAAGAATAAGCTATTATTGCAGTGCAAATCCACTCGTGGAGCTGTGACTCGCCCAGGTTTGGGCTTGGATGAAGGGGAGCAGGAGGAGAAGAAAAGAATGTTTTATTGCTTTAATTTAAATTGAAATAAGCAGCAGTGCACCAAGAGCCCTTCTGCCACATCCTGTGAGTGAAACCCTCGGTGCTCCTGTGCCGTTTTTGGGGGGTGAAGAAGGAGGGGTGCTGGGAATTCCCTTTCCCACAGGAATTCACGAGGAGTCAGGAATCCTCTCCTCGGTGTCCCTGCTCACGGCAGTTCCTCCCTCTCCGGTGGTTTTGAAGTGCAATAAGAGAGAAGAGGTCCTTGCCAGCCTTTCATGCACCCCTGTGCACACCAGTTGTGGGCACAGCTACCTTTTAATGCCCAAACTAAAAAAGTTTTGTCTGTTTTACTGCTTTTTTTTTTTATCTCGGTGCCATTGTTTGATGATCACAGGAACCTGCTGCAGGTCAGGTTTCCTTGACAGAAGTTTTGGCACCGGATTTCTGACTTTGTTGGGTATTTAAGCACAGCGTGGAAACTTTGAAGCTCTCAAGTGTGTGGTTCCAGCACGTTTCTCGCGCTCTGCGGTGTGAAAATGTGTTTGTAAACGCCCTGTCTCTACAGCCAGAGGTCAACACAGCCAGTTTACTCCCCAGAATGTTTCCAGCTGAAGTGCCTCTTCTCACCTACTCAGTGACTTGTTCGAGGCACATCGGCCTTTCCTTCAGCTCTCCAAAAATCCCCCCTGTGCTGAGGGGTGTTAACGAGCCAGTTCAGCCCAGACAAAGCCTCTACTCAAAGGGAGTCCTTCGGAGAAGCCCCTCAGTGCTCCTCTCACCAAGCTATGGACCCTCTGCCTGCGTCCCGTGTTTATTCTGGAGCAGGGCTGTGGTGGGAAGCACAACCCAGCTTTGCCAGGGCCTGCTCCAGAGTGGAGCTGCTCCTCAGGAGCTGTGCCTTTAGAGGGGAAGTGGCACTGGGACAAACGGGAGTGCAAATGGAGCAGAAACCAAGTGTCCCCAAAGCCATCGGGGTTCTGCCTGCTCCGAGCTCCACCTTCCAGGAGAAGAGCTCTCACTAGAGGCTGTCAGTGAAGGCTGACCCTTCTGGAAGATTCCATGAGTGAAGAAAGAGCCAGGGTACTGCTCTCCATCTCTTTATCTATAACCTGTATAAGGAATTCCTCGAGTCCTGTGAATCCTCTTTGCCCCCCCGTGAGCAGTGTCGGGATCCCCGGGAGGGAGACCCAGCAGCTCCAGGAGCACAGCTGACCTGCAGACAGCAGCTTTCCACCTCTGCAAATCCTCCTGCATCATCTGTGCACCATGACTGGAATGTTCCCTGCTCCTTTGGGAACGGGCCTGACCCTGCCTGTGGCTGCCTGGGAACCACATCCCAGCAGTCCCTCCGCACCTTTCCCTGATGGATACAGGCAGCTGTGGTGGCTGCAGTCCTGTTTCTGTGTTATTTTACCCCAACCAGGTGCTCTTGCTGCCCACACCTCTGTGGGGACACCCCTCCCCTGCCACCTGAGCAGGTGCTTCAGGAAGATGCAGCTCCTTGAACCCAGCAATGATTCGGGGAGTCTCCAACTCCTGGAAGACACAACCGTGGCCAAGCAGCAGCAGGAGATCCACGAAGGCAGCAGGAACACGGTGTGGCCTCGGGCAAAGGTAAAGTCTGGCTCTTCTGGGAAGAGTGATGCCTTCCTGGATCTCCCCATCTCCCTTCCCTACAGCCTGGTGTTCCCAGGCACGTTTTCCTTATCGAGGAAAACCCCTTCCTTGTCCCACTGTGCCCCTAGGGATGAGCAGGAGCTCTTGCTGAACATCACCTGTGTGTTTGCACTATTTAAACGAGGCCTGTACCACGGAATTGACCCTTATTTTTTTTTGTGTCCTGCAGAAGATGAATTTAATTAAATCGAGCTCATTCTACGATTCCACGGGTTTGGTTTTCGTTTGTTCTGCGTTCCGGGGGAAACCCTTCAGGAAAGGCCAATTCCTGGGATCCTCCTGTGTGTCCTCTCCAGGGAGGGAGGGACTGTCCTTCCTGGGGTGTGTCTGCCTTGCCCCAACGTCTGTGTGTGCAAAATGCCCCAGGAACAGCAGCAGCTCTGGATTCCCTGCCGGGCCAGCCTGGCACAGCCCTTGCTGGGTTGTTTTTCAGCCCCTTCCCAGTCCCTCCCCTCTGACATCCAGTTTCCCAGGAGGGCAGCCCCCACATCGCTGTCCTGTGGCAGTGCCAGGAGGTTTTTTACCCCCTTTTCCAGCTGTTTTGACGTTATTTTCTGGAGCAGGATGGCAGCAGCCCTGGAGGAGGCAGGAGTTCACTAGATGGCACCCACTGGCTGTGCGTGGCACGGAGCCCGTGCTGGCAGCTCCCTGCAGCCCTCCCTCCCTCCAGGCTGCACAGACCCACCAGGAAAAGGCACCCAGGGACAATCCCATGGCTGGGGCTTGGTTTTCCTTGTTCCCCCCCCGTGTGGGGACCAGCAGGCTGCAGGTCCTCAGGCTCTCAGCCCCACAGGCCCCAGCAGGGATTTATCACCAGCCAAGGGGGAGATGCTGCTCCAGAAGGAAAAGCATCTCGATGGCTGTGTAGGAAAATAACAGAACTTCACCTGTGGGAGAGCCAGAGCTGGTTCCTCATCCCTGGCACAGATCCCTGTGGGCAGAGCTGCTGCTGTTCCTGGTGCTGCCCCAGCTCAGTCCCTGCCCGTGTTCCCAAAGCAGCTTTAGGGTTGGTTGGAGCCCAGGACTGCCCCCAGCACTGTTCCCACCCCATCCTGCCAGTCCTGCAGGGGAGTTCCTGGCCCTGTCCCAGCTGTCCTGGGCCTCTGGACCCTTTCCTGGTGTCCTGTTCTTGGAGCAGCTGAAATCTCCTCAATCTGAGATCCCACACTGGCCCCACATCCCAGGGGCTGCTCGGAATTGGGGGGAATTGGAAGGACC